TGGCTGCCATCAGCTTTTCATCAGCACGATTCCCTCAAACTCAAGTCAACCATTGTTCCACCAAAACCAGCCCCAAAGTTAGCAGTGGAGTTACATAACGTTGCCTCTCCACCCGTCCCTCACCCGCTCGCTCTCTGTTTATGGTTATAATGAAGTCTGTTTACGGCTTTCAAAGACACACCAGATGTTTATGGGTGAGTCTCCACAGCGATTGGGAGAAAATGCTCCTGCCTCTCAAGCTTTAAATGCACAAACTCAGTGACATGCACAATCAGGAATTCTTTTCTGAGAGAAGCATTTTATTCTGACATTATTTAAATCGTTCCTAGCAGAGGTTTCATAACAGTTACCAAACTCGTGTTCTTTTGTCAGTGCGTCCACTCACAACAAACATGATCTGGCTCCTGTTCTAGTGTTAACAAAGCCACAGTGACCTCACTCAGGTTCACATTTGCTTCGGATGTTTGGAAAAGTACCACGACCGCCCACCTGTGCTCGTTTATCACAGACAATGCCACAACAGGGCAGCTGCTGTCAGGCTGTAGAATGAGTCTTCCACTAACCAGAGGGTTGGAGGTTCTATCCCAGTTTCTCCCTATTCCTTGGGCCGAAGTGTCATTGGGCAAGAAACTCACGCCCAAATAGCCCCTAACGCTGCATGAATGCACTGTATGAATGTGTGAATGAGTGAAAGCTTCTGTAAAAGCACAAGATAAATACAGACCATTTACCATTTATCAATAATTCTCTGCTCTCCAACCACTAGCCAGTGGGACGAGCGTACGCACTGGTGCAGCCGGCCATCGACAGAACACCTGTGACCCCCGAGCCGGTCAAACCTAAAGAGGAGCAGGTCGAAGTTATCAAAGTGAGTGGGACGGACTGTTCTCTCGTGTTTTGTGGAAATCTTACAGTGAATGACCGTTTGTTTTGTGGTTGCGTTGGTTGTTAACATGCATGACTCTCCCGGGTCCAGGTGTATCTCGAGGCGCGCAGACAAGAGCAGCACAAGCACCAGCAGAGCCTGAAGATGCTGTCAGATGAGGTTTCACAGATACAGGAGGTCAGTATCTCACTAATGCACAAACACAGCTGCAGTGTATCAACCCTGTCTCCTGGGCAATGGGAGAATTTGCATCATGTAAATTCCTTGTCGCTCTCGTCTGTGTCTCTTCCACCCTTGATTTTCTCTCTGTCGAGTTTGAATATTTAAAAAAATCTATGACACCATCTCACTAAGATAACATCCAACTTACTATTATACTCTATCGTCCTCAGGTGAGGTATTGCCTGAAGTCGCTGAGGGAGCAGATGGCAGCCAAAAACAAGGTATGTCTATTTTGGGGAACTTTGACGGGACTTTGCTATTGTTTGACCTCGCATCCTGTGCTGTTAAAGGCATTTCCTCCACCTCTCATCTCTATCTTTCCTCCCTCGCTCACTTCTTCCTTTTTTCTCCCCAGCCGCACACAAATGGGTGGAAAGTCAGCGTCCCCTTCAGAAAGAGCTCCTCGTCTGCACCCAAGGGAGGAGCCAAAGCTGACACACAGGTGAGCAGACCCCCAACATGAACAAAATATGTGGACGTGTCAAATCTCAAGTATCGTAGCCGCAGTCCTCTGTGAGTTCTCTCTAAAGAATGTAGCACCCAGAGGCACGCAGATAAACACGAATGAGACAAACTAAGAAGTGATACAGGCTAAAGGAGAATAAGATTGAAACTGAGAGTAAATACAGTATCTGTACAGCACCCCGGGGAGTTTGAAAATGTGTGAGAACACTGTTCGAGCACAAAGTGTTCCTCCGCCTGCCTGTGTTATTGTGTTCAGGCCTCATTGTTCCCAGCATTCCACAGATGCTTCATCCTTTAATAGTTTTGTTGCTTTCTGTTGAAGCCTCTTCTGGTTTGCATGTCAGCAAAGTTTTGTACCAGCACAACAAAGCTGACAGCTCCATGTTTGGCTAAATTGTTTTCGAAGTAATTACAGCATTTATCTGTGACTCAGGTTACACACTGAAGTGTTGCAGAAATACAGACGGAAACACTAGGCATGACCTAACTGCTCCAGTGACGCACAACGGCACGCCTGTTTTCTTTAAGAACGACCAAACCCACCGAGCTTGGACCAGATGTTATATTACATCATCAGAAAAGTATCTTTCTCTCTATTTGATTATTTGCTGAAAATGTCATTGTATATATCTCAAAGGACGAAGATGATGAGGCGGAGAGGACCAAGCTGAGGGAAGTCAGCAAGCGCTTGTATGCGCAACTGCAGGAAGCTGAGAAGAAACACCAGGAGGAGAAGGAGAGGCTGCAGGTAAGAACACACACACACACACACACACACACACACACGACGTTTTTAGATGCACAAACTTTTTTGTCCGTTTTATCAAACAATCTTTTTCTCTCCAGGCTGAGGGCACCAGACTGAAGGAGCGTGTGAGCGACCAGGAGGAGAAGTTGAAGACCACAGAGGAAGCCAGCGAGAGGAAAGACAATCGCATCGAAGAGCTCCAGAGGCTGCTGGGAGGGATGGAGCAGGAGAGCTCCACTCTGCGGGAGACTATCCGCAACCGGGAGGAGGAACTCCGAGAGCTTCGCAAGATCAGAGAGGAGGGCCAGAAAGGGGACCAGAGGTCAGCTAATAAACACACAAACACGCACTTAATCTCCGTATCAATCATTGCCAATCAATTCACAGATACTGTTCTAGAAAGTTAATGCCTGTGGATTTCTTTCAGGGCTGAACAGTTGGAGAAGGAGGTGGCCATTCTCAAAGAGAAGATCCACCATCTGGACGACATGCTGAAAAGCCAACAGAGGAAAGTCAGACACATGATTGAACAGGTGAGACACACTTGCGTGAGACTAAAAGCAAACACGTCGCCTCCATGTGCATATTTGTGCAGGATTTACTCACTGTTTGATCGTGTGTTTGTTCGTCTTCAGCTTCAGAACTCTCGCATGGTGATCCAGGAGAGAGACCGCGTGATCAGAGAGCTGGAGGAGAAAGTAGCATTCCTGGAGGCTGAGGTAAGAACAGCTTCTGTCTCTGACTTTATGGCATCTCAGTGGAATGTAGAATCAAGGGTCAAGGTTCAGTGGAACGGAGGAGAAAGAAAGACAGATCATACACTACCTGATCTCTGCAGAGGAAGAGATGAGATGCAACTACTGTCTACATTTCTTACACTTTCACACTTTTATGTTTTATTCTCTATGTACCTGTTTCTTTTTAAATGCTTCTTTTGTGTATTGTATTATTCTGCTCTTAAAATGTGTCATGGTGCATTTTATATGAATGTTAAGCACTTTGAATTGTGTTGAACTGACCCCTGACCACTGTTGTGTGTGCAGAACCGAGAGATGCATGACCAGATGGATTATTTCCTGGGAGGACAGAGGTCCAATTCCTACCTTTCATCAGAGCGCAACCCCCAGATTGTCTACAGGTAACTTCATTATTTATTTATTTATTATTTAGCCCTTATTCCTTTAGATTTTTCAGAAGCAAACACACGTGTAAGAGCCAAGAGAGGAACTGTTCTCTTGCTGTTACAGGAACACAAAATAACAGAATATATCATGTCTCTCGTTGCCACAGTCGACCACTCAAGCCGTCCAACTCGTCTAACAAACCACTCCCTTTCATCAAAGTCATCGAGATCAAGTCATGAAGCGACTGTTCAGGTGACGGACACGGATCTGCGGTGACGGCCACAGAACCACGAAAACCTTTCCCGTGCAGACTGAAACCATATAACAGCTCCACTCCCACGTATGATGGCGTGAACGGTCCGAGCTGAGCGTCCTGGACTGCGCCACTTCCACTAACCACAAACGCTCTTAAAGGAAACTGTGTGGCATTTGGCAGCACACATGGGGTTGGTTGTGTGTCTGTGCATAAAGAGTGATTGTATGTCAGCTTAAATTTGGATACATTAAGTGTTCAGATACACCTGATGTGCTTTTAAAGTTCATCATATAATACAGCAGCATACTGTTTGCATGTGTTTACTAGTCCTGCCCTGTTTCATCACTATTTGGACCCTTTGAGTTTTTGGGGATCTGTGTGGTTGTGTTGAATGTGTGTCGTGTGCATCGGGCAGGATAGCAGAGCTTTTGCAGCAAGTGGGCAATGATGTAAGTCCATATACAGTAATGTAGCACCAGTATACTGTAGTTAACTCGGCTGTTGTGACAGATCAGTTTCAAGTTAAAATCGTTAACCAGAGGATGTGAATCCTGTGTCCTTATCTTCTTTAGCCACTGACACGATTTCACCATCACTGAGTGAATGTTTGTTGCTTTCATCATGTAAATACTGACTGGAGCCTCGACGTCACCCTGTACTGTGCTCAAAAAGCTGTTTTTAAAGAAGTATGACTTTAAATCCCAAAACAACAACAATATGGCACTTAAAGAAACTGTGAGGAAGCAGAAGGATAAATTCATATTTTCACAAAGCATTTCAGGTCCCTGCCATTATGTGTATTGTCTATTTGTTTTGTACATAATATTAATATTTGTGATTTGATGTTTTAATTTCTGCTTAACAACTTTCTCCTTTGTATTTATTTATATTGAATAAAAACATCTAGACAGACTTTGTATGGTCATTATCTGTTTGTAGGTTTTTCTGAAAATTAATAAAAGGCCTCATGTCACCTTCTAATAGAGTCACGTCAGTGGATTACTATGGAGAGGGCTCCATCTGCTGGACACTTTATACAAAACAATGTAGAATGGCACTCCAACGTAAAAACCTGAAGTCCTTTTAAATTCAGTCAAGCCACTTTATCAAATATGAGCCTATCAGCTCCCTAAATATGAATATTTTTTATATTAAGATCCATTAATTATTTCTTCAACCAATCAGTTCAGTAGTTTTGTGTAATCCTACTGACAAACATAACATTCTTAGCAGTGGTAATTACTGCCATGTGTCGACTGCTTGTAAAAACATTGTACAACAACTCAACTTTATATCACTGTTTTATTTAGATGGCAACTTAACAAGTAAGCACCAGAAACAAATTAAATCATTCAGGCACGAAACGCCTCCCGGGGAATCCTGAACACCTCGCAGGCAGAACTAAGTCAGAGCCTATCCCAGGAACAGAACCTCTCAGTCAGAGGAAATGGATGCACTGGAATACTGTTAAATAACATTGCACTGAGGGAAATTATTAAGTTAAAAGAGCACTTAATCATCAAAATTCATCAAATATGGCTTCTGTAAAACAAACATTTGAGGCTTAAAACGAGGCTGAATTCACAGCAGCACAGGAACAGTACAGACGTAAATAGACGCAAACAGACGTGACATATTCGTGTTTTTCTGAGTAAAGTGAAGCAGCCGTTAACACCAGTAACTGTAATGATCAGCATGATTAAATACAGTGGGATAAGTTCAACAATCCTGCATAGGCTTTTACATTGTGCAATAAATACTGATTGTCTTCTGCCATTGCATAGCCACACAGCTCATCTAGTTTTTGTTTTGGTCAAATCAACCACACTCATTATAGTCACAGTAAATATGTTATTCTCCCCAAATATACCATTCACACATGATGTAATACAGAATATACACTTTAGCTACACTTAGGTAAAGAGACAGTAGTCAGATTTGGACTGTGCAGTAAACCAGGTAATATGTGTTAGTGTACACAGCCTTCAGTGCGGAGACAGTACCCCCATCACTGTCCACAGCAGCTGTAATATGTATAATAATGCTGTGGACGGTGATGGGGGTACTGTGATGGGGGGGTACTGTCTCCATTACATGGTGTTTCCTTTGGACAGACATGAGAGATCAGAGCGTACTGTCCAGGGTGTTGTAGTTGTCTTTGAAGTTCTTCAGCTCCAGGAAGTGTCTGGGCCTCTTGCTGCGCTGCTGCAGCGTAGATATGAGGTAGGTGGTTTGAGTTGGGGAGGAGGCGGAGCTTGCCGGCTCCGTAGTGCTGGTCAGGTCTTTGGCTGCAGACTGATGGTACTGGCTGGGAGTGCTGCTACTGCTGTGAGACTTCACGCTGCAACAGTGAAGAGAGAAACAGCTTGTACCCAGAGTATAATTAACATTCCACATTGGGATTAAATTAAGAGCAGAGCTGTAAGAGAGCACTGCGGGCGAGAGGTTTGTTTTTACTCACGCAGAGGCCAGTTCAGTTAGAGCTTGCTGGTATTTTAAGAACTCGGCTTCACCAAAAGCCTGCAGACAAAGATGGGAGCCAAAAAGGGAAATCAGTTAAGACCAAATCCACAATATGTTGCTCACACACCTTATTGACTCTTTTAAAGAAAGAATGAAGATTTTCATTTTCATACATCCTCCCATCAGTCAGCTGCAGATTACAGCACACATCACATTGGACTGTATGGTAAAAAACATGATTGTAATTAGAATCCTATCATGTAACTTTGTGTTTGGCCACACATGTGAAATCATTCATGTTTATTGTATTGAACTTCATGGAATTATAAAATAAAAAAAATACATAAGATAATTATCTCTGACAAGGAGGTCATGTTCTCATCCTCCTCTGTTTGTTTGTTGGTTTCTTTATATGTCTGATTGTAAAACCACTAGAAGGATTACCATGAAACTTGGATCTGATATGGGTCAGAGAAGAACCCACACACATTCATATGTGTGTGCGATTTGGTGGAGCATGATTGAATCTAAGAGGAATGTTGGGCCTACGCTCTACTATGTGCATCTAGATCTTTAAGTCTTTAGATGCAATTTATTTGTTATTAGCTTTGACACAGGAGTGCATGGCTTCATAACATATGTCCTAATGTGTTTGCTGAGATAATAAATGACAATTACTGATTACCTGTAACACTCGAACACATGCACACTCACATACTGACCTCAGCCCCATATCTGGCTTTATTGTATCCATCCAGCACCGTGTCAATGAGGGAGCTTTGGCTGTCTCGGAACATGCAGTGGTTATTGCGTAGCTGCAGAATCCAGGTACGAAATCTTTTCCCCGTCACAGCGGTGGACGTCCCACCCAGGTCACGGAAAGGGAGATCTTTTGACAAGTAGCACAGGCAGTACTGTAACAGTGGAGCAGGATTCAAGTGCTGCCATGGCAACGCAAAACCAAGCAGTGACAGGAAAGCTTACCAGTGTCTCTGATGGCATCCAGCGCTCTCATCCTGTACAAGTAGTCATAGGAACCTGCAACACACACAGATTCTTCTATGCACCAGAGAAAAACTACTCAGGATAGTTTTAGGACTGGAGTGTATGCATGTATGCATGTATGCATGTATGCATGTGTGTATGTGTGTATGTGTGTATGTGTGTGTGTGTGTGTGTGTGTGTGCTCCTCTAACCATTCTGTTCATTCTGCTTTATCCGATCATCATCTGGGGACAGCAGACGCGGCTCAAAGTGGATGTTCTGAACCTGACACAGTTTGGCTTCAATTTCTTGTTTCAGCTCCTACAGCACAGACGGAAAACTTCAGTAAACAAGCATAAAAAGTAAACTTTCAAAACCATAGTTAAACAGTGCACAGCATCACTCTGTTCATCACTCTGGTTCATTATGTGCGTGTCTTACTTTTGGTGCATTATGGCCGAGGGGAACATGTGGTCCTCTCCGAGACTTCATGGCAAACCGCATAATTTGTCTTTTGACAAAGATGAACAGCAAAACAAAAACCTGGAGAAACAGTTAGGTAGTCATCGGTAAGTATATTTTTGATTTACTCTTACTTTATTTTACTTTATCCAAATTACGATCAATATCAGGTATACAAATATAAGGTGATGGGGTATTATGTAAAATAAGAATCCAAATCCCACAGAAATCCGTATTTGAAATGATGCACACCTCTTGGGAACAAGTATCTTATAATGAAATCATGATAACTTTATGCCTGAACAATGTAGAGTGTGACACTACAGTAATTCTCATATTCATAGCAGGCAAAATTATGATTGTGCATACTTGAAATGTATTTTTTTCCCCGGTTATGTTTGTAAGTCATGGTTGAAGAAAGATCTCAGCTTTAACGTCACTGAGAGAACGGCGATGCCTCGGAGGAAGTGGGGGAAGTTTATTTAGGGACACCGGCAGCAGCGCCCCCCCCCCCCCCCCTGCAGGTCCTGTGAGGAAGTGCAGCGTGCTGTGGGCGCAGCAGGTGTGGGCGCCAAGTGTTTGTGGCGGTAAACAAGAGTGTTAGCTTAAAGTCCCTGTCGCGTTGTTTGAGATCACAAACGTTTCTTAACCATAACACGCATTTCGCGTGTGTGTGTGTGTGTGACGCTGTAATCTCCTCCAGTCAGCGTGTTCACACAAACCAGTGGGAACGATCATTGTAAGTGAAGCGCCTGACGCATATCAAGAATGTATCATGTTCAGATATAAATCCTTACTTAGATTATCTAACCTCTTGTTCAGAAATACTTTTCTTTCTGCTTCATTTGTTTGATCTCTGGTTTTTCTTTATTGTATTTCATTTTGTTCTTGGTTTAACGTGCACTGTGCAATCCTGGTGTATTGGCTGAAATATCTGTGAGTTATTGACCCTACTGATTAATTGACTGTATAACATCGCTTGCAGTGATAATCCACTGTGTGATCTTTAACGTGTGCGTTGAGTTTTTAACTCTGTTAATTTGAGCCTTTAACTTCTTCCCCGTTTTATATTGACTGTTTACATCATGCTAGCTGTCAGTACCCTACACCTTGTACAATCTCACTGCTGTTGAGATCTCCTCACAGCTGGTCCATCGGTATTCATGGTTGAAGTGATGAGCAGATAATACGTGTTGTGTAGTGACACTGATCCAGAGCAGCCGTGAAATACCGTGACCGGGTGAACTCGTGTGTATCTGACACTTTCGAGGTCTCGTGTCGTTGTTATTGTGAGTTTAAAGTTGAGTTGGATTCAGCGTTAGAAAGAGCTCATCGATGACAAAGTGACACAGACTCACCAGACTCCCGTAGGCCATGACAAGCACCACATTGACGCTGGACAGCAGAGAATCATTTTTCATTTTTCAAACCCACCAGATAAATATCAGCTCAAAGAGCGAACAACACGCCAGAACGAGACGCTCACGGTCGCATTTAGGAAGTCGTTTCTTTAGAGAAACATGAAGCCGAGGGAGAGACAGAACGACAGGAAGTTAAAGAGAGAGAGAGGGAGAGAGGGAGGGAGAGAGAGAAAGGATGATTGTTGCTACATGTCGCTGCTGCTTTGTTGACTTCCGTGTTAGTCACATGACCGGTACGGACCGGCTGACGTCATGCCTGAAGTTGTCTTTGTGCTCTCCTGCCCTCTGCTGGTGACTCATGTGTTATTACCATTAAGTGCGTAAACGAATAAATAACATGAATCCCAATAAAAATCATATAAAGATATTAAATGTGTTTTATCGATACACAGCAGCTTTCTGGAAAAGTGTGGATTATTTTGTCACAAAAACCAACACATATGTTTTAATACAACATGAAGATACAAATAGAGAGTTCAGCAAACTACCAAATTATTAATTTTAATTTGTAAATTCTATTTCTATGAAGCCAAATTTTTCCTTCATTTTTATATTTGAACAATTGATTTATTCAATGAAAAACAATCATCATTTGTCATTATTCTTCTTCATGCTATTATGATATTCTGTATTCTAATTATAATAATACACTTTTTTTAAAAAGGTTTAAGAAGTGCATCATTTACATAAAAACTGAAAATACATGCAGTGCAATTACAACTGTTAACAACTTAATGCAACAGTCCTGTTAATATAGTAATGTAAACTAAATAAAGCAACTAAACAACTTAGTTAAAAGTCATTTTATAGAAGAGGCTCCTGGTGGAGGGAGGTTGTTTCACAGCTGTGGAGCTGTAACAGTAAATGTGTTTCCGCCCTCTGTCTACAGCCCTGGGTGGTGAGAGTGACAGCTGGTGAGAAGAATACACATTTTTACAAATTATTATCATATCATTTTGTTACACTCATGCATTTTCTTTATGTCATATTTCCTCTGTTATGATGCCTAAAGTTTCTATTTCCCCCCTTTTTTAGCTTCACAAAGACACAAACAAACAAAACAACAATAACTCCTGATAAACAATCTCTTCACTGACAAAAAAAGAATCACTCCTGTAATTTCCAGCTCCAAGAGTCACATTAATGAAACAATACAAATCATTAAATCACCCAGTCGTCCCATTGTTGCTGTGTACTTTTGTTTTGCTTGAAATTCAGTCCACTATTTATATCCACTGTGACCCACTGATTAAAAACCACAAACTCATTTCTCACAACACATGTACTGAGGCGTGTTCTTATAATCCTACACCCTGAAGAATGAGTTTAAACCAGCAGTATGTTTGTGAGCAGGACAGTGATTTGCATACATCTTGCAGAGACACTGAGTGCCATTCTTCTGTCAGGAACAAGGGTGGGTGTCTGTGGAGCCATGCTGGAGTTATTCACCCCCGCTCACACACTCTGTGTCCTGAGGAGACTGTGCAGCCCACCAGTCCTCTGTGTGTACGGCTAAACATTGACTGGATCCTGAAGACCCCTGGAAATGCACAGAGACAAACATGTCTCACTTCTACCTTGCAGCTCGCTCATGTGGTAACCACAGTTTCCTCTGTCTCATTGGAAGACAGGCGTCAGTGAGAAAAGCAGCAGTGAGAAGATGAGACGTTACACAACAACTAACAACGAACTGTAAGTACTGGTGTTTTGTACTTGATTGCTTCCACTTTGTAAATCTGTGACTCAATTGCTGTTTGTCCACCTTCCTACTCTGCAAATTCAGTTTTACCACAAACAATCTTTCTTTTACGATGTGGATAAATAGTATCAGCAGTATCTAAGGCCTCTCCCCTTCAATCAACATTACAGTCCCTAACATTCTCTGTTTTTGTTGAACATATCACACACGAGAGGTTTTATTTTAACAATATTTATCTCAGTTGGTCTTTCAGAGTGTGTATAAAGTCCCTGTGACCTCTGGTTCCAATTAAAGGTGCTGTGTTATTATGTATTCTGACACCTGCTCAGCCCAGACCATTACACTCAGGTTGGCCTGAGGTGTGGTGATATTATGAGCTTACGTTGGTAAAATGTCATTCTTGTTCCATTTCACACAAATGATCTGAGCTGCAGCTCCTCTCCCCTGAGCTATGAAATGCTGATGTCACATCTTGTACACGAGGGATGGAGCTGTAGGTGTTGGTAGGGCGTGTGTGTGCGTGTGTGTGTGCGCGCGCGCGCGTGTGTGCACTCCCTGTTGAGCTGTTCAGTGAGCTGTAGTCAGGAATGCTACCCTGTGAGAGGAGGAAAAGAGGGAGAAAACAACAATGGGAGGGGGAGGAGAGAGGGAGAGACAGACAGAGAGAGAGAGAGAGAGAGGATAAACCAGTGTGGCAGGTTTGCGTCACTGTACACAGTCCATCATGCAAAGCTGATGGAAAGAGAGAGAGCGACAGAGAGACAGAGACTTTAGGAGCTGAAGTCATTGCAGAGCGCTGCCTTCATTATGAACCTGTGTCAACACAATGGTACGAGACAGAGGTCCCTCTGAGAGAAGGTAAGAGGCGTGTGTGTGTGTGTGTGTGTGCTGATGGATCAATAAGTTAATTTATAATTAGAGTGTGTGTGTGTGTGTGTGTGTGTGTGTATGGTGCATTTGTGTCTTTTTGTGGGAGTGTGAAGTAAACGGGGCCTTGTTGCCGGGGTTACCCAGATGGGAGACTGCTTTGTGACCTGGCGCAACAGGTGTTTCTGTAAACCGACACCCACACTCACATATATCTGAGAGACTGTTTCTCAGACTTCACGACAAGAAACTACTACAAACAACCTCACATCTTTAGACATTTAGTCATGTCTAGTCTCATCTAATGCTTCTGTCCTGTTGTGTTCATGCAGTTAGTCAACACTTTAAAGTGTGTGCGTTCGATGTCAATAGAGATGATTGGATCCCGATTGTGACCTGATAAATGATCGCGCTTGCATGCGTGTGTGTGTACTCAGATATCCCTGATGAGCCATTGTCCATCAGTGCCATTATCTCTCTTGGCTGTATGTAAATGAAAATAGCTTTATCTTATCTGATGATTTCATGTGACTCCTTTACAAGGTTTCGACCAGTCACTACTGATACATGGTTGCACAAAGGATTGTACCACTTTATTGCAGTTGTCTTTGCAGAGTGGATTGCTGTTAAGGGAGTTTTTCCAGTTTTTGGTTCAGGTTTGGCTGACGCTGACTGATAGTCATGAGTATGTTGCTTGAGTAAACAGTCGTTATGATATGTGTGTACAACAAAGGGAGCCACCAGAGATCCACTGTTCTGTGAATGGACTCATTCAGTCGGTGTTTGGAAGGTAAAATGTAAAATGACACAACTGACAGATGTTTGGAGGGAGGAAACAGAAGTGTTTTTGTTCTCTTGCCCAATTTCTTGTCCCCTTCAAATCATTTTCACATCTGCTCCATTCACTGTTCACTTTATGCGTCACTGTAACGCCCTGTGTTTGTTGTCCTTCACCACCCTGTGATTCTATTTGACCATTTTTGAGCAGCCACAAGTCACCACAATCCACATATCTCCAACATTCCAGCAGAATCCTGTCCTGACTATGGAAATTTGTACATTTTTATGCTTGGCAGGCGATGGGAGCTGTTGGCTGAGGTCACGCTGGGAAGACGAGGAGCCCAGAGGAGTCGTCACTTCTCGACCACAAGTCAGAGAATCATCGAGAGCATCTCCAAAATATCAAACTTTTTAATGCACAATTTGTGTCCGTGCAAGAAACTAATGAGAAGCCTGTAATACAGAGTCACACTGTCTTTTGCATCCACAAAACTGTAGCACTCAGATGAACTGCTCCCAGTTGCTTGGAATCGCTTAAATATCAAGTTCACTCTTCCGCTCTCTTTTTGGGATTTGGCACTTGACAGGAGGTCGTTAACTTTGTTTACTCTGAGACAATGGACTTGTCATTTCTCCCCACTCCAGTGAGTGAGTGCGACACACGGACAGGGGCGCAATTTACTGTCCGCTCGGCCAGCTCTCCCTCGTACAGCTTCACCCGCAGACCAGGTGTCAGGAGATCTAGAGGTTTTACTGAGGAGGTGAGGGAGGGTACTGAAGGAGAAGGAGAAAGAGAGAGACACGGGACAGATCCTTACACAAATGGTACAAATAAGGAAGAGGATGGAGTCATTAAATATCAAGACAGCACTGGTGGCCATAGCAGTGTCAAGGGTCAGCCTGAGGGGAAGGAAACATTAGGCCATGAAACGTCCCCCAAGCTCAACCAGAATGGTGCAGGAGTCAAAATGTCCACAGAGTCCAGCACCGACCCTGCGTTTGAGGGTCTAGGCAGGACAGGGTTGAGGAGATACAACCTGTCAAGCAGAAGTAGAAGTTTAGATTGGGGAGCAGAGGAGAGTAGTCCTTTTGGGGGAACCAGAGCTGACATGCTGTCAACCAACAGAGGAGGGGATGTCACTAAACAGCCTGGAGGCTTGGATGAAAGTCAGACTGGAGCTGAAGCTGTGAGGAGCAGGGTGATGTTTTCAACACACAGCTACAGCTCTGCAGGTAGAACTAATGTTGTTCAGGTGAGGAACCCAGTGAGTCACCTGGGCCAGACGTTGGTCAGGGTCAGCAGGGGTCATTCTCTCCCCTCCAGGCTGAGGTCCGAGTCTGGACCAAGTTCCAGGTTCACAGAGACAGCTTCATCACTTGGGCCCAAAGGAGGTCAGAGTATACTGGAGAGGATAGAGAAACTCTACGGATCTGCTGGTTTCACTAAAGCTGAGGATCACAGCAAAATTAGGGACTTCTCCACCTCTGCAACATCTGCAGACTCCTTTATGTCATCACACAGGTCATACGAAAGGGTAGCTGGGGGGACCTTCCCTAGGCGTTTCTCATTAGGGGAGAAAAATAGCCTCAGTCCAATGCAAAGCTTTAGGTCTGTCACCGCGACACCTCAGAGGGACGTGTCAGGTTCTGAGAGTTCACTTTCTCCAGGGAGGAGCAGGAGATTGTCCGGGGGGCTGTGGCACGGGCAGGTCCAGGACAGGTATCCACTAGAAAGTGGAGCCAAATGGGGGAAAGGGTTAGTGGATATAGGCACAAAGTCTCTCGATAGAGCGAGGAGTAGGAACACTGTCGCAGCTCAGATTAGATCTGCCAGGGCTGCAGCAGGGTTCACTTCACCAAATCATTTCTTAGAGGAAGAGACATCAGCTGCTCTCAAAGATTCATCTAGATTCATAGAGGGGGGAATCAAGGATCAGGGCTGGGTCAACGATGGAAAGGAAACTAATGGAGTATATGGGGCCAAAGAAAAAACTGAACTGAAGAGCGGCATCACTGATGATGTATTTGAGTCAAGTCCAAATAAAACCACACCCAAGAAGAACTTCTCAGCTGCAGCCAGCGTGAGGAATAAGATCAACCAGTTTGAGGCTCTGACACAGAGAGCAACAGAAAATATCCTGATGCCCAGACGAGCTTTCTCTGTGCCGACGCAGCTCAACAGGGGCTATGATGACGTGAAGAAGAGCGGGTCAGCAAAAGCGATAGGTGGGTTGAGGGACAAGTGGGAGGATTTGAAAGAGGGAGGAGAGGCACATAAACCTGATGAGAAAGGGACAGGGGCAGGGAAGAGGCTGCTGTTAGAAAGATTTTTATCTGCGGATGGGATTGGACTAGAGAGGACAGAGAAAGGATGGGACGATATGGCTGAAAGTGAAAGAAAGGAGACAGATAGCCAAGAGAAGTTTTCTGAAGATTTTGGCAAATATCTGAAACTCAAGAGTTCACTTGAAATCCCTCTAAATGGAGGACGCGGTAAAACATTTTTCTTCGATGAGACAGATTTTGCAAAAGTGTCAAGTCCTGAGGAAGCAAGCGAGAAAGACATGACAGACAACAATACACCAACCCTGCTACTGTCTAACTTCAATGACACCTCCACTAATGTGCCCTCTTCACCTGTTAGTGATGATGACAAGACCCCGACAAACACCCCCAACCACTCGCCCGTTGGTTCACCTACTGCAGAACTGGAAAAGGCCTCCCCAATTGCAAATAGAGATGACAGCACTTGCGCTGCTAAAACTCCTGATCCAGACTCCTCGCCTCCGCCTAATCCCCTCGCCACCTCCTCCCACAGCAACCTCCCTGATCTTGTCTCTCCAGAGATCACCACCGCCAAGCAAAGAGGGAAGAAACAGGAGCTGGACCTTGAGGCTTGGGTAGCAGGCTTGAACTCAGCCATTAAGGTCTGGAATGACGATGGAGATTATGAGGATGATGATGAAAGCACACAGAGGGATGAGGACTCCAACTATGATTCAGATTCAGATTCAGGAGAGTCCTCTGTGACCATCACCAGCAACATGAGCCAGTCAGATCACAGGAGCTTCTGCGTCAGGTGGGTTCTGTGGAAATGCAACGCACAATCAATTTTCTTTCAATTCCTGAGCGTTTTTAACCCTCGATACTTTCCTCTTACAGTCTTTCAGAGCTGTGTAACTTTGCTGGGGTTGACTACGAGTCAGACAACGACAGTGATGAGTGGCAATCGAGAGGTCGGAGGACCGCCTCACTGAGCTCAGATGTGTCGGCTCTGTCCTGCGTGTCAGTGATGCCAAGTGAGGAGCTGGACCGGCTGCTGGAGGATGTCAGGAGCCTGGGGGAAAACACCCTGCAGGTACAAACAGCTGGAGGAACATCTTACATGCTTTTCTGTTATCAAATTGCGGCACAAACTGCAAACACAAATTGTTTTGCACATTGCAGCATGAGCAAGGTCCAACTCAAAGCAGCTACACCTGACCACAGCTAGTTTCACTTCCTTTCCTACTTCTCTTTCACTTATCTCAAAGGAACTATGCTCTGGCTGATGTTCAGTGGTTTAAACACAATAAATACAAATGCACACATAGGACCGAAAACAGTTCCTGCCAGTCATCTCCCACTGTTTTTCCTCTTTGCTGCTCTCTGCCATGTTATATAAGTTTTTTTTCAATTTAACTTGTAATGAGATCAGCTGCTCTTCTGTCTTGCAGGACTATGATGATGTGCAGGTGGCTGTTCTCCATAAGGAGGTGGGAGTGGGACTGGGCTTCAGTGTGGCAGGAGGCGTGGACCAGAGCAAGCCAGTCACTGTGAGGAGGCGTCATGTGTTTGTTTCTCTCCTGAAAATGTTTAAAAATCATTGTCCCCAGTCTTTTCATTAGTCTCCTGGCGATTATCTCCTCAGGTCCATAGGGTCTTTCACTCAGGCGTAGCAGCTAAAGAAGGCTCCATCATGGAGGGGGACCAGGTCTTGTCCATCAACGGCACAGCATTGAGCGACTACAACCACTGGGAGGTTCTGAGGGTGCTGAGAAGGGCAAAGAGTCGTGAGACAGGAGTGGTGGTCCTGAGGAGGGGAGGTGTTACCGACATCTCAAAGAGTGGAGTGCAGACGAGTACTCCGGGACCAACACAGACTCAGTTCACTGATGCTGGTGAGACTCTGAGAAGACATCAGTCCTGAATTTGCAAGTCGTTCAAAGTGAGATACAGTGTCTGTGTTTTTCTCAGGTCAGCACATGTGTGTTTGTCTGGAGAAGAACAGCAGGGACCTGGGCTTCAGTCTGGAGGGAGGTGTAGGCTCCAGTCTGGGGAACAGACCTCTCATTGTACAGAAGATCTTCCAGGGTGAGAACTGACAAAAGTGCAGACATTTGAGCATTATTATGACCTCCCTTCACTTTAAAGAGGTGGATGAGAAACAGCTTGTATCAATGTGCAATATAGATACAACTCTTTGACTCGATAAGAAAATGTGGAGGATTTTTGTCATTTTAGACATTTTCTATTACATTCTCGTCACTCAAGAGACAGCAATAAAAAAAAAAGACCAAACAGGAATATATATTTTTGGGCTACTAAGAAAAATTAAAGTCTCAGTGTGTAGAATACAGTGACCTCTGGTGGTGAAGTTGCATGTTACAGCTGAATACCCCTCACCTCACCCTCCATTACAAACATAAAAGAGAACCTGTGGTAGCCTTCAGTTTTCATAAAAACTCAAAAGGTCTTTAGTTTGTCCAGTCTGGGCTACTGTAAAATAAAATGGCAGCCTCTGTAGAGAGGACCCGCTCCATTCTAGGGTAAAGAAAACAACAATTCGTATAATTTAGATATAAAACATAAAATAAAACAAACATAAAACATATGTCTATTTTTTTGTTTGCTCCAGACCGAGGTGGACTGGGTTAGACATTGAAGAAATGAGATACAGATTAACCACACAATGACATTCTGGCACAGAAGTAGTGATCAAACCGGTCCTTATACACTGCAGGGAGTTCACAGGGTTGACTGCTTGGCTCAGGACAGGTTTGCATTAGGTGTAGGAGACGACACAGAGCCAAGAACACCCAGCAACGGGCTCATCACCAAAAACGATAAGAATATACACAAGATGACATGGCGACTTTACCGGACTGTTCACAGAGTTAATGCTTCTATATATCAGCTGGCCCTACTTGTATAGAACCTTATATTTTAGAGAGAAAATAATATTTATAGCAATACCTGAAACTTTTAAACAAAACATTTGATCATGGCTGCAGAGACAAAAAAGATTCTCTATAAAAAGGTTTCGTTCATCCATCAATTCTTATAGAGCTGATTCATATATTTATCAGAATTAGGACTCTGAAAGCACACACACTGTATACAGATGTTTTAATGACAGACATTTTTTTAATAGTCTCTGTCTCTGTTGTTTTTTCAGGTGGTCCAGTCAACAAGGTGTGTCCCGGCGATGAGATCCTGGAGATTGAGGGTGTGAGTGTGGTGGGGATGAGGCGTCTGGAGGCCTGGACTTTGATCAGAAAACTCCCCCCTGGTCCCGTGGACGTGGTACTGTCCCGCCCTCTGAAACATCTCGAAACGTGAGGGTTATGGAAGCACAGTAAAGATCAGGGAATGATGAGAGATAGTGTAAAGTACAGTGGCTTGGATGGAACATGGCGTGAATTACCTGGGAATATTTAGGCCTTTGAAACAATGCAGCAGTTTGTTTACACATAGTTTTCAAGCCCAGAAGGAAAAGTCGTTTTAAAGACGAGGGCAAAAGTATTTATTTTTTCTCTTTTACAGGATCACATCTACCTCAAGGCCTGTGATATTTATGTATAATAATTAAAATGTACTAATGGCTCATGCATTTATCAAAAAGAACTAGCTTTTATGCCAAATATGGCACTGTAAATTAAAAAAACACGTTGTAACAGGTTGTGAATACATTGTGCATTCAAAGTTTATTTTACTTTTTTTAAATAAATCCTAACAAAGTGACGCTTGTTAATGTTGTGTCCAGCAGAGGGCGGAAGAGTGGCATCATGTTCTCTTTTCTATTAGTTCTCAGGAAGAAAAAAAAAAAACAACCTGAGGACAAAACTGTGGGGTCATGGTATTTGCCCTTCTATGCACCAAACTGTGATGTGTTGATAAGATATCAGCTTTACGGTCTCCACATTGTCAAGGTTTATGTTATGGAGGGATAATCATTGTCTAAATTTTACTTATAGCCTCAAACTCAAACTATACCAGTTCCTTTTCAGATGAAATAACATCATCAAGCCGTCTTTGTGAGCTTTATATCTTATCTGATGGGAATTTGTCTTTATGTCACTGCCAGGCGCCTGTCAGAAAATTATCAGCAATAACACAGTACTTTTACTCCAACATAGCACTTATGTACTTCACTTGCATAATCCATTAGTGGTCCAGAGTTCAAGGGAGTTGAAAGGGGTTGTGGTGGCATTCGGCTTCCTGATGATTGGAAGGGCTTCCCTATAAACCACCTTACCTAACCAACCTCACCAACAAACATCTCACCACACCAGTCCTGATATAACATGTATTTACTGTCAGAGGCTACTTTTTTTACCACTTTAGACAATCTCAGTTTTTTGCTACAGAACCTGTTACTGTCATTTAACTTATTATGTTGTTTTTGAGAATGATTGGCTTGAAGGAATGTTTGCATTTGGGTTAATCTTATTCTGAATAAAAAATTGTGATGAATAAATATTAATGATCGATGAAATAAAACAAAATTTTGTTTTATTTCAACAAAATAGAATCATTACACAATATTTCTTTAGTTTAGGTTAAACTGTATTGTTCTTATTCTAACAGCATAGATTACAAATATAAACAATTATAAAGCTCTGAGTTTTATTACAGACAGTTAAGTACAGTTAAATAGACCCATTCCAAAATTATTCATGATTATTATATACTTATAATCATAAATTACAACCATATAATTAATGACTTCCCAGTTCAATTGCACTTAGGACAATAGATTCCTTCTACACACTTTTTTGCATGGTTTGATGCAACTGAAAAAGTTTAGATTTATTTATATATATTTTTTATAGTCTGTATTGTTGCTGAATATTTATTGGGGTTAACATTTATTTTATACGTGAGGCGTGAGGGATATATACAGGTTCAGTAATAGAGGATAAATATACACAAACCCTTTTATACACATAGTCAAATATGCACCAGTAATCGTGATACAGTGAGTCATGATGTAAATCTGTGGCTGTGCTGATTTAACAGGCCACAGAGTGCCAAAATAAATAGGTACAGGTGGATTTGTCATAAGCACCAGTAAATGTAGCTGTATGTACACTGTAGCTTATTGCCCCATATCCGTGCTGTCAACACATAACCTGACTGTTTATGGCCTCTGTTCACACATCCAACCTCTAACAGCGGAGGCACATTACACTCTGTGCACCAGCCAATCCGGAGATGTCACAAACGAATAAATGAGTGATAGTGTTTGATCAGCTGTGGAGAGGTGGGATACAGGTCCTTGGATGCTGAGGTGAAAGATCGGCACTGTCTCCTCCGTCACTGATACCAACAGCTCCTGGACAGACTCACAGACCAACAGCTGGTCCAGTTGATAACACAGACAGTCCAGTGTGGGATGAGAGGAAGGATTTCATTTTACTCCTGCCATGATGAATTTACGTTTTCTAAGAGTGAAGAACCCTCTGATGCGGGAATGCATGGCTGAATTCCTGGGAACTTTTGTCCTGCTGGTGAGTTACACTGACAAACACCATCCACACACAGTTACATCCCTTTTCTTGTTCTGTCATAATATTTTAGCTTCTCTTGAATATTAATTTGTATTTGTTTTGATTTCATATTTCATTTTTTAAATCTGGGTGCAGAGGGTAATCAAGTGACGCACATTGCATATTATTTATTTGCATTTACAGTTAGGATTATTTTATTATTACAAAAATCTATTGGAAACACAGATATTCGGGATACAGTATTCCAGTACATATAAATATATAACACTCCAGTTGTCTTTGTATTAGTAAAGCTGGTCAATTTGAACTGTAGTCCATGTATTTGTTCAGTAAATTAAAATGCAAAGATTGTACAGATGTGTGTTTTGGTCTTAATTTCCATTTTTTAGGCAGGCAGTATACAGACACATTTTCAAAAATGTAAACGCAAAGTACTTACTTCCTAGAATCACGGTGATGTTAGCATATACCCAATTTCCAGTTCACAATGATAATACAAATAATAAGAAATAACCTAGGTATCACAAAACAGGAACTAACTTATTTCACTGGCACCAATTTCCTCCAGTTACAGTCATTAAAATCTTTGGCCTTTGTATCTACTGGATGTTATTTGTTTGCCTGTAATTTAATAAAATAATATAACTCTGTCAATTAGTTATTTATTGACCATAAAGTTCGGTCGTCTATGTACTGCTTATGTTGCCAGTTTTATTACAGTCCAAGTCCAAGATCTGTGATGAATAATCATCAATTGCAAATCAGACACATTACATAATATATTATTTTCTGTGTTGGAGAATCATTTGTTGTTCAACTGAAGTTTGAATTTCCCAGACATCTCTTACCACTGTCTCTAATCTGTCTCTTGTATCTCAGCTCTTTGGCTGCGCAGCTGCTGCTCAGGTGAAGACCAGCAGGGAGACTAAAGGCCAGTTCCTGTCAGTCAACATGGCGTTCTCTGTGGGCGTCATGTCGGCCATGTACCTCACCAAAGGCATCACTGGTAAAAAACTGCTAAAGTGGACATCAACATTATGATATTTTTACATGATATTTATATTTCTACCCGACAGATGCAGTAAAAGATCTGACCCACATCCTGGGTTATGGTGTTTGCATTACTGCAGACATCCACTGATCTGAGATTGAACTCAATTAGATCAGATTCTCTCTGACTCTCATTGAACCTAAAACTCCACCTTCTCTGTCTTTCTCATCCTGCAGGTGCTCATCTGAACCCGGCTGTGACTCTGAGTTTCTGTGTGTTAGGCCAGTCGCCCTGGGGAAGGCTGGCTCCCTATTCCCTCTCCCAGCTGCTGGGGGCGTATGTGGCATCAGGGCTTGTCTTCCTGGTGTATTATGGTTTGTATCAAAGCATTTCAAAATACAAATGTCTTCGATGTACTGTATATACCCACGACTCTGCATCCAATTTGTCTAATGTTTGCTTCTTGTCATTAACTCCTTTCCTATCTCAGATGCTATAATGTCTTTTAGTGGAGGGGTTCTGACTGTATATGGTCCAAATGAGACGGCATCTATATTTGCCACATATCCCTCAGAATACATGACTTTGGCTGGAAGTTTCCTCGATCAGGTCAGTTGGGAGTGTGTAAACTTTAGTGTGTACTTCAACAGCTGTTCAACTCATCATTGCTGTTTGTACATATGTCAACAGCTAGTGGGCACCGCCATGCTGATGTTGTGCATCCTGTGTTTGAATGAGAAGAGGAACACCCCCGCTCCCCCAGAGTTAATTCCTGCAATAGTGGGGGTGATTGTCCTGGGGATCTCCATGTCAATGTCAGCTAACTGCGGCGCTGCAATAAATCCTGCTCGGGACTTGGGGCCGCGCCTCCTCACACTGACTGCAGGATGGGGCACTGAGGTGTTCACGTAAGTGTCCTATCTTACTAAAACATATGCATACCCCCCCCCATTAAACATTTTGAGGCGTGCTTAATGTAGCTACATCATTCATTCAAACTGTTTCAGTTCCATTTTAAAATGTCGTGGTTTGCTATCGATCCAGGCCTTTGACCCTGTGTTTATCACGTCTGTCAGAGGTTATCAGACTTCAGAGCTGTTTCCTGCAGGATGAGCGGAACATGAGATAAAATCCTGTGTTATCCATAATACAACTTGTGGCTCTATGTAATCTTGCAATCAAATGGCTTTTCTGTGAATTTTCCATGACTGCGGAAAAACTTTATACTTGATGTAATCTATTTAAAGCTACATTCATTGATTGTGGCCCAGTAGGGGGCAGAAAAAACACCAAAACAAGCTGACAGACAAACAGCCTTTGCAAACTTTCACCTGTTTTGACTTCTGTCTATACATCCCACTGACAGAGTCATGATATCATTATCCCATTGGACATGTGTATCTGTTCACCTGATAAATATAAAGTTCAATATTCACTTAAACCTTTAGCTCCTATTTGAGCTGAAATAACTGAGACAGATGATCTTTAACAGCTAGAACTATTATTTTCTGTAGTTGTAGGAAAAATGGGACTGAAGCATATAGTAGATGTGCAGGTTTCAAAACCAAATTGCCAAAAGAGGCTTAAAAAGGCTTACATAAGTCTACATAAGCATTTGATTGAAAAACATAGTAATTTGTCTAATAATAACCACACATGGCTTTAGAACACACTTATTGTTGTATTGATTGATTCTTTTCTCCTGTTAATCTGGGTCAATCTGTCTATTCTCCAGATGTTACAACTACTGGTTCTGGGTTCCTCTGGTGGCCCCGCTCATCGGAGGGGTTTCAGGAAGTTTCCTCTATACGATCTTCATCGAGCTGCACCTGCCTGACCCAGATCTGGAGAACCTCTCCACTATCTCCACCGTCAGTGACAAATGCAAGCAACCAGCCACAACATGGGAACATGGATTTGAGATAAAAACTGCACATTTATAAGTGATACTGGAACGTATCATTTGTCCCATGTGACACAAGCACTAAGCTTCAACATTGCCTGACCAAAAACAGCAACCAGGTGGTAAAGAAGTAAATATTTGAGCTTCACGCACATCTTGTGATCATCTGTAGGAAAATAACTAACTATAGGAGCATCCATTGAACAGATTTACTTTAGTAAACAAGACATCCAAGTCCTCATTAAATGCAGTTTCATACAGCTTAGTTCAATAATCTGAGTGTGTTTTTGTGACACAAATTTCCATTTTATTTAAAGAAATTCAAGAACTTTAAATTTTTCCTTCAGTGTTTTTGTGGTTTGTAATGGGGGGAAAAAAAACAATACTTGTTTTAAAATTGTTTTATCTGCAGCTATTGATGACAAACAGTTAGTGAGCTTAAGTCGATTATTATTATTGATAATATTAATTATGTATTTCTCATGTTTAGGTGATAGAGGGAAACTATGCCATTGTTCCAATTGTCCTACCTGATGGTTGATACTTGTCTTTGTTCTAAGAGGTTTATTGTATGTGTGGAGACGAGGGTAAGGGACACACAGGTCCACTATGATTATCCCTTCATCAGAGAGTCAGATTGCTTTGGTCTCTTGAGTCTCTCAGGAGGAGCTCATGGAATAGGTTGATTACAGAGTAGTGATGTCTTTGAAGCGTTCACAAAGGTCAAGTCTGTATAAATTGACATCAATTCACATGCAATTAAAGGGCAGGAAATGAAAAAAGGACAAGACATTGTTTTTAATGTCCTTTTTTTGCCTATATATATATGTGTTTCTTTAAATGTTGTTTTCTTTTTTTTACATGCTCCCACTAGTAGACAGATTTTCAGGTGACAAGGTAGAGTTGGCTATTCCACTCTGTGCCACAATGTATGGGCTTTGCTTGCTACATAAATACATTATAATGCAATAGGCACAATCTAGGCTGGTCCTTTATGACATTTACTTAAGTGTCATAAAGGGTGACATGCTAATTAGATAAGATTATTTCCCCATACAGTAATCTTATCTGATCTTAAGGATGTTGTCTAACACCCGTATTTTTCCATCTGATTTAATCATTAAACTTGTTTCTTTGTGCTGACGGATGTGTATTTTGAACAACTTTGCTTCATCGATCTATTATTAGAGCTTATGAAGATTACTGCCATTGAAATACCATTGCCCCTCTGGAGGATTTCCATAAGATGTCACACCTTCAGACAGAAAATACAGAAAAAATGTTTGTTTGTTTTTGTATGTTACATGTGTATATATTGAATATTAAGTTCATCCCCATGGTCTAAGCTTCATTCTACAGCCTTCTAAAGAGGATTACATTGTTACTTCACAACTTTAACTTGCAAGAGAATAACATATGAAACATGTGTTACCATTGTAAATGTTTAATAAACATCTGGACGTAGGCCTGTGAGTAATGTGTGCAGGATGGACAGATGCTTGCAGATGTTACGACCTTGATCAGCTAACAGATGTTGGATGACGTTACGCTGACTGAGCATTAGAGGGCGGTGTGACACAAACAAACGCACATGGCAAAGTGTTAAATCAGCTGTTAAGAGACATTTTGAAAACAAAGTGATAAAAACAGAGAGATGCCACCACAGCTTGAACTGAAATGATGGATTAGATGTTGGTGTTAATGTCATCGCCTCAGTGACTTTAGGTCTTGAGAGCAGGACTTCAGATGGAGGTGGAGAAGGTGAAGGGAGGAAGCGGCTCCTCCCTCTCTATCTCCCCCTTCTCTCTCTCCTCTCACCTCCGCAGAGAGCCTCCTGCAGCGCGCCCCCGGTCCCTGCTTCAGCCTCCCTGCACCTCCGTGGCCTTAGAGCAACCTCCTCCTCCTCCTCCTCCTCCTCCTCATCATCATCGAGCCAAGCCAGAAAACTTCACCATGACCTCGGCGAGAGAAGCATGTCTCCACCTCAGCCGTGTGAATAACAGCTTGTAAAGGTAGGTGGCTTGTGCTGGTTTTCATCACGGCTGCCCTCACCATCATGCATGGCTTCCCGTGCGGTTCTGGTTTACTTTCTCAGCTGGAGATATTGATGTGTGTGTCTCGGTTTTCATTGTGAAGTGTTCAGCTCTTGTTACTGCACCAGACAATGTCATGTTAACTAAAGCTGCTCTGTGAACACTGTAGATACAGTTCTGAGCTGCAGGGGGTTTTATGCAAAGAAGTTTTAGTGAGGCCTGACAGGGTTTTTACATGTTCCCAAACTCTGAGTGAAAGTTTCTTAAGTCACTTTGCAGTGACCTCAGACATCACTGTTACACATGTTATGCAGAAGACGGTCAAATAATTAGCCATCAGTAAAAGTTATAAATAACTAAACATGCTATATAAGTGCAAGAAAATATAACATTTAAATAGAATAGAAGTAATCTATACAGTGTCAACAGAATGAGCAGAATATATACACAGACATATATACTCTCCTTCTGCTGTTTCACCAAGTTGTTCTGTGCTTTTTATGAAAGTTACTCACCTCCAGTCTTGTTGTATTTAATAGAATCTCATGCAGATATCACAAGCTTAATAATAATAAACCAAAAACAGCCACTGGCATCCTAATTATTATCTTAAGACAGATATTGAGCAGAGTGTATGGAGCAGACACCACTCTGAGCTCATCAGACACTGACTGATTAAAAACAACATTAATTAACAATCACATCAGTCTATCTGTTTATTCAATTTCTAGAACCAGATAAAGTGAAGTGTATCGTGGCTTAACTTTGTTACAATCATTCCAGTCCTCAGTTGTTTTGATTTGTTGTCCCCTGCTTCCTGTTAGTGACCTACAGTAATGTCGTAATTCATTTTAACAGGATGTCAGGCAGATATCACAAAAACATATTAGTATTTATTATGGTGGTGTAGAGGAGATTAAAATGTCTGTAATTGAATTAGACCTCAGGAAATACAAAGCCGGATGTCAGAGCAGGTCAATTGCATAAGATTTAAGATTGTCAGAGTTATTTTAGTCTTTTGCTGTTTCGGTTTGTTGCTTGGTTTCGTTTATATCAACAGTTCAAGTTTTCTTTTAGAGATTGAAACCTTTGCATTATAATTATATGTGGGGGCAGAACATTTGAAAAGTATAAACACATAATTGTTTTATAAATATGTATATGATCGGAGAAATGGCGTAATGATATAACAGTTTAAGAGTTATTCAAATCTGTAAAATAAAAACAGAACATGTGTGCTGGTTTTTGTCATGCTGAGGAAATGAAAAACGGGTATTGGTGATGCAGCTGCAACCAAACGTTTTTGCTTCAAATCCTTCAAAACTTCCGCCAGATTCCAGCGAGAGATATGAAAATGAATTCCGCCCAGATGCCAAGAAAGATGTTCAGATATTCAGTGGTCTCTCTTCCTCCCTGGGCTTTATTTCATGAGGGCCCTGCAGGTTCATGGGGTTATACAAAACAGATGGAGAGTGAGGGAGGGAGAGAGGGATATGGCACCTGAAAGACTGGAGAGGAGAGAAGTGAGAGAACATGGCAAACAGCTCTCATCCTCACTCTCTACGCCTGATTATATTGATAAATGGGTAATAGTGTAGATAGTGAGCAGGGATGCAATAAAAGAGAAGAGTGTGTGACAGGGAAAGAGGCTGGAAACTGTAGCTGAAAGCTGATCGGCCTAAATCACATGGAGACAGGCAGAGCTGCTCTCTCCCTCTGGAGTATTGATTGGTCACTCGCTGCCTCGAGCTGTTTAGTACCTTTCATATGCACGAGGCAAATATGCATGATGCCTCGCCTCTATGGCGTCATCTTCTGCAGCTTCACACCGTTAACTTAACTGAAATAGAGCACTGTGAGTGGGAGCTGTGAGGTGTCTAACTTTAACAGGTCAGCATTAGTGAGGACAGAGAGGGGAGGGGAGGGGAGGAGAGGAGAGGGGAACATGTCGCTCCATTACTCTTTCTCATCCTCACAGGAGGAGACTGATAGTGGATCTGGCCGGAGCCACCGGTCCCCATAGACACAAAGTACAACAGAGACAGAAGCTGGCCTCTGCTGAATGTCATTTCCTCATTATGGTTCTATTCTAACACACCAGAGATGGTCTGTTGTGTGTGTGCGTGTTTGTGTGCGTGTGCTGTTGTGTAGTTGACCGAGTTTCACTTCATCACAGTGAAGATGCGACATGTAAAAAAAAAAAGTAAAAGTAAATAAAGTGCATCAGCTGAATACAGAGATGATCTCTGTTTGGTTAAAACAATACAGAACTTTTCTTTCTTGAACATTTTGGATTAGAAGAAAAATGTGTTTGTTTCGTGCAGTTCACACTTCACCTCACTTTAAGCACTCAACACCCCACTGTGTCCTCCTCTCTGCTTCTCCTCCTTCACCTCCTCCTCTTCTCTCCCTCTGCAGACAGTCTAATGGGCCATAGCCGAAGGAAGCCGGCAGAGTGGAGATGTTCAGAAAGAGATTTCCTCCAGGTCAGTCTCCGAATTTAAACACACAGACTTTTTTTCTCCTTTAAATAATTGTCCACATAGAAATAGAAAGTAAACCACACATGAAGTAATATATCAGATACATTTATATATATATACGGTATGTGTGTATGTATGTATGTATGTATATATAGTAAATATTTGTTTTTAAATTGATAACAAATAACATCTATATATTAAAATTGTATTAATATTGAGATTAAAGTTTAAGGTTTTCACAGCTTTTACTTTTTTAAGGGAGGGTTTGGCTTTTAACACCTCGAATTTATGGATATAGAACTTGGCCTGCAAAATGATGAGACTGCACAGAAGTAAAAATATTTTCTAATCCTCTCCTACATATTAAATACACTCATTAATTACCTTAATGTCAGTGTTACTGGTGATTTAATGGAATTAATGCACACTCGAGGTATGGGAATAGCTCATAATATGATCAAACAAACTTGGTTTCCCGGTGTTCAGAAAAGCAAGTGCATGCAATCACGTGTTCAACCCACATACAGACTGCAATTTTAAACAGTCCTATAAATTGCATTTTGACAATCTTAATATGTAAAGTCTCTTTCATGATGTGCTCATTATTTAACTGCCCTGTCGTTCTCCTGTGTCTCTGATAATAGATACATTAATTAAATTAACTTGGGAACTTGACTGATGATACTCAATCTGCAGCAACAGTGTGATGACACACATTTTTGTTGTTGTTTTTACTTTTTAGCATCTTTCCACTGCCTCAGCTCTGTTTTGTCTTAAGTATCTTTATGTCCCAGTGAGTTTCCTTAATGACGTCACTTTTGCAGACCCCAATTGCTCCATGAGTGAACATGCATTTGATAGATGCTGATTAACTTTGGAGAAATAACAG